TGACGTGGGGCTCGAACTCACGAACCGCGAGATCATGACCTGAGCTGAAGTCAGATGCTCAACCGACAGACCCAGCCGGTACCGCTGGAACATCTTACGTGCTCTTAAACCGTGCTCAATATGATTTTTAGTTGCTTCCTAGTATCTGACTCTTATTATTATTTTCTGTCTAATGACACACTTCTAAACACACCAAACTCGCTATGTTTCCAAGAAGCTGGGTTTGGGTCTCCTGTTTAACGCCGGATGACCCGTGACGACCAAGAAAGAGACGTGCGGCCTCTCAAAATACAGGAGACTCACGTCCTCACACCAGACTATGTTTCTGCACCTGCCCTTCCCCCCTGATCCCAGGTACTAACAAAAGTGGTCAGCTGCCTGCATGTTCCTGGCCACTCCCTGCCCCTTTGGAAACAGCGCTAACAGGCAACAGATTAACATGCAGTTAAAACAAGACAGAAGGAAGAATCACGCAGTGTAGCCCCATAACACGGTTACATAAAATCCCGAATAATTAAAACCTGTAAGGTGAAGTAACCCACGCTTTTAAACACAATGTTCCAAGATCCCAAAAACTTTGCATTGAGACCTGATTTCCAACATGAATGTCACAGGAGAAAGGTATTTAACTTCACCTGCGATTAATAAAAGTTGGATGAATTTCAGCAAAAATAGCTACCTGTCGATGCATAGAGTCTTTATTGGCAATCTCATTTTCAAGTTTATCGTTGAGGTCGTGCACAGAGGTGGCTTCACGCTGTGCCGCGAGGTAGCGCTTCTCAAGGGTGGTGATCCTCTCCTCCATGTCCTCCTTCTGGGCCACGGCCTACAGCAGGTATTTCAGAGGGAAAACAGGGAAATGGCTAGTGCAGGACACGTTAACACACTCCAGACACAAAAACTGGGCTAAATCCTGATCTTCCAATCAAATAGAAAACCAGCACCCTCGGGGCACCGGGGAGGCTCAGCCGATGATTTCGGCTCAGGTCACGATCTCGCGGTTTGTGAGGTTGAGCCGCATGTCAGGCTCTGCGCCCACAGGACGGAGCCTGCTTGGGATTCTGGCCGCTCGGTCCCCGGGGCTTATTTTTTCCGATGTGTTTCAAGAGAAACGTATAATAAAATCTCCCAGAAGTCACAACGTCTGTTGCCTCCTGACACAAGTGAGCTTTCCACAGAACAGGGACTGGCGTCTGGAAACACACGCTGGGAGATACAACCATCATTTTCCCGGGGGAAAGATGGATGAAATCTCATCCAGTTACCAAAGTTAAAGCAGAAGTGTTAACAAACTGAAACAAAATGCAAACTTTTATATAATTGGAAGTAACCTTCCGAAGCCTAATCCTGTAACAATATTGTATCACACGGTATCTAACACTGAAAATGGAACCAGAACTTTCTGCCCTGCCTTTCCTGTCCCCTACCCTGAAGATTCCTCTTTCAGCCCTCTTTGTTTACTAAGGAATTTATGTCAGCAGTCTTAACATGAAAAGTGATGAGTCTTAAGAAATGAATTTCTAAATTGTCTGCATCTTAAACTCTGCTGAAGAGCCTCCTTCCCCACCCCCCTTGCCAAAGAATAATTTCACTGAACAGGTTACGTAATTTCTGCAAATATTTTTGCTTTAAATTCTTACACGACCTCACCCACACTAAGCTACTAGACAGAGTGCACCTGTACATCCAGGCTTGAGGGTCTGAGAGGGTCTTCCTGAGGTGGCCGTGCTGGGCTGGGGGCGGGGGGGCGGGGGAC